CTTGCAGAGGTTGTGCTGTGTCAACAAAAATACCTATAACAAAGATAGAACCTTGGCCAAAGACAGATATGCCATGGTCAAGACTGCATATAGATTTTGCAGGTCCTATGAATGGATCACATTATCTTGTTGATAGTGCAAAAATCCAACATCTTCAGTGACATTGAATTTCTTGCATGAATTGTTTGTGAGATGCGAGATATGGCATACCAGATACCATAGTCTCTGTTAATGGAACACAATTCACAGGTAAAGAATTCAAAGGCTTTTGTAAGCTGTTCTCCATTAAATATATTACAACCCCACCATATAACCCAAGGTCAAACATACAAGTAGAATGGTGTGTGAGAACATTCAAAAGAGTGTTCAAGGAAGCAAGTCTTGAAAGATGAAGTATGAGAAAGCACTTCAAAATTTTCTGAGAGTTTACCATGTAACACCTAACCCCAATACTCCAGTAGGCATGTCGCCAGTGAAATTAATGTTTGCTAGAAAAGTAAAATTGGTGTTCGACAAGTTATTACCAAGTCAAAAAACATGAATGGATAACAAAAACAACACCAAAAGTTTCAAGGATGGCAAAGAAATGTGCTAAGATGGCATAATATCAGCAAGTATCGGGAAGTTGATTTACAAGGGAAAAGATTTGAACATTAAAAGCACCATAATTAACTGAAAAAATGGTTCATCAATGAAAGACCTGAAACATTGAAAGAAGTAATAAATTTCTATATGATGTTTTCAATGTACAAGCACCACAAGAAGTTGTGGAACCTACAAGGACAAGTTCCAGAAAAAGAAAGTGTACCTGAAATCAAAATGCTACAAAGTCAAATACATTGGCAAACTCTCTAGAAAGTAAAAGTAAAATACCTATAAAACTATTAATCTCAAAAGTGGGGATGTTGTGGAGTAAATAGTACACCCCTGGTGACTATATGAACTAGTCCATAGCTATAAGAGCTCCAGGTAAGAGGTTGGAAGAAGAAGCCATTTGAAGTTAGTCTTCAGACTAATAAATATAAATATCATGGCAAGTAGCCAAAGCATTACTTATAAGTGCTATGAAGCATGTTATAACACTTTCTTGTTTCCATTTGATCCACTATGCTTCTGTTTAAGTATTTCTTTGATTGGTGGAATTTCATTTTCTGCTTGATCTTTTTCTTTTTGGAAACATGAAATCTCATCTAGTAATGATAACTTACATCTGATTTCCTCAATTTTGTCTTCCAAGTGGGCTCTTTTTGTCATGCTTGACATTAATATTTTTTGTAGCTGCCAAAGCTGTTGTATATATATGACATTATTTACTTCTGCAATGTTTTCTAGTGGTCTGTCCATTAAAAATGTTTGCAATGCAGTGTTGTGCTTTCATATGTTTATTGGACTTTTTCATATGAATTTTTGGAAGCCGGATTCTTTTTGACATTTGTGTGTGAGTTACTTTTAAAAATTATTTGAATGATGTGGTTTTTCCTTCTGTGATTTCAATGCTTGTTTTAATGTCATTTGATTCATTTTCATCAGTGAAATCATTTATGCCACAGCTGGATTCTTCTGTTTTATTTCCTGATTATCATTTTGTGTTCATTTATTTTATATGTTATCCTTTGTCACATTATCTATTTTCACTCTTGCCTCATTTTTGTTTGAGGTATATCTTATCTATTTCTATATTTGAGAATCTTTTATTTTGCATGGTGTCCCTCTGGACATTGGCAAGCATATTTGAGTCAAGATAGGCCCTTATTTTAATTCCTACCATATCTCTCCCTATTTGGTATGTCTGATCCATGATATTCTTTTGTGATTTGTTTATACTCTTCACAATTCTATTTCTTTTACTTTCTTTTTATTAATTAATCTGGCATTAAGTCACCAGGTTTAATATTCAAGTTAATCTGGTTTTGGTGATCGGGTGTCTCATTGTTGGTGAAAGAGTTTGTTCCAGTGACAGATTTTTCAAGTGGTTCCTCTCTGAGGGACACAGTCTTTGTTTATCCAGGTGATGACCAATTCAATAGTTTTTGTTCGTAAACATTGTGATTTGCATGTTTTGAGTTTTATCTTTAACTACCAAGGAGTAATTATGTTCAAGATGCCACCTCTGTTGACCAAAACTAAAGAGCAGTCCTTCCCATGTGGAGGAATTTTTGTTGTTCCTCTTTTCATCTTTATTGTTCTTAAATGCAAATCATTTTGCATCTGAAAAAAAATAATCTAAGTTTATCCAGAAATAAAAGAGAAAAGAGTATTTCATTCCTTTATTATAATATACTCACCATTCACTTCATGGAGTATATTCTTATAGTAGTAGGTTGGACTCTTTTACTTTTTAGAATTGCTTCAATCCTTTTTTGACATAAATTCAATGATGTTCTGGAAATACAGGCTCATGCTGTTATCAGTTCTTCTCAATTGGTTGGCTACACATCCAGGATTTGAATCTCTCTTTCCACCATATCACAGAAGTACTTTATAGGATTGAGGTCACTTTAACACAGAAAACTCATTGCTGTGTGCCAATAAACCAATCTGATACTATTTCTTTTATTTATAACATGATGTATTGTCTTGCTGGAAGTGGCCAACAGAGGATGCAAGTAATGTAGTCATAAATTGAGGTATTGGCAATTAAACACGCTTTTATTGGTACCAAGAGTTCCAATATATAGCAAGAAAATATTCCCTATACCATTACACTACCACCATGAACCAGTGATTAAATCAGGATGAATCATGTTGTTTATGCCAAATTCCAAATGTCACAACAGAAATCTCTTCAGACCAGGCAATGTTTTTCTAATCTATTGTCCAAATTTTTCATACTTAACAAAACTGTAGCCTCAGTTTGTGGTTCTTATCTTACAGAAGTGTCACTCAGCAGTCTTCTGCTGCTGTAAGCCAAGTTGAAACAGTTGTTATTTGAGTTATTGTTACCTTTTTATCAGCTTGAACCAGTTTAGCTATTCTCCTCTGACTTCTTTCATGAACAAGGAATTCCCATCACTGGATATTTTTTCTTTTTCTGAAAATCCTAAAGATGATTGTGTGTGAAATTCCATATGGCATTCGTAGTCATTTAAATCACCTTTTTCCCATGAAATGAAATTCATCAGGTCAACATTACCATGTTTAAATGCCTATATCCATTAAATTGTTGCTGTGTCATTGTCTGAATAGAAATTTGTATAAAAAGAGCATTGGTTCATGTATACTTAATGAAGTGGTTAGATGGTATGTTCAGCCATATATTGTTTTAGCAGTTGAGGATAATTAAGCAAGAAAAAATGGCAGACAATGCTTAGTGTAAAATATATTCTTCCCACTTCATTTGATAGTTTCTCAAGCATAGCAGACTCATTGATCATCTCATAAAATATATAATGCATTTTAAGTGAACTTTTAAAAATTAATGATAACAGATTCATATTGTTAATTTCTGATAGAAAATGAAGCAACAAATAAACATTAAAACTAAAATCCATGATCACTTTAAATTATCAACTTCAATAGATAATTTGAAATACATACTTTTGTTGGTTTCCTTAGAAGATAATCGATATGATAAAACTTTAAAATTTTGTCTACTACCAAACTGATTTCAGACTTAAAAATTCAGTTGATATGTAAAACCTTGTAGGATGGGTTATTAGTATTCAATTACATTGTTTTTTACCTCTTTCAAATAACATTCCTGATAAATATGATGCTTTGGCATCTTGATTATTTTGGTATTATCTTTGCTGGACTACAACAGACATACAGATTTTCTTTACTAGATTTATAAACTATTAGATATGTTGTAGCATGGAAATAATTATTTAATACTCTAATTTTTTGTCTATTTAAATTAGAATCAATTTCTATTTAGTTCCACTTGCATATTTTCTTGCAATTTCACTGTTTCTTTTTTTTTATTACTTATTAGATTATTTTTCTTTGTAATCATCATTCCAATTTTATTTGTTTGTTTTAATGTTAAGATGAAAATGCTTTGGGCAGGCTCATATTACAAAAAGGATGCTAAATTTGTTGTCTTAATGTATCGTATCAAATTTTGAAAAGATTAATCAATGAGATAATTAAGGGAATAGCTTTAACAGTTCATTATTTAGACTATTGTCCTTATCTTTGTCGCCATATTTATTACAATGTTTTGGCCGTTGTACACTCCAGCCTTCTTCAGGTGGTTGGAATGTTGAAATGAACCCCTTATTTCGCTCACTGGGGTAGACTGTTCTAGTTCCACGTGCCATGTTTAATGGATGTCAGTTATCTGCTGTTAATTTCCTTCTGAAAGTTCTCCACAGCCTTAACCAGGTATTGAACTCAAGGACACATGGAACAGTGGATAAAGGTGTTAGTTAAATCCAGTGACAGGACCCAAAGAGTGTGAGTTCAATACCCAGTTAATGCAGTGGAGAACTTTCAGAGGGAAATTAACAGCAGATAACTGACATCCATTAAACATGGCACGTAGAACTAGAACAGTCTACCCCAGTGAGTGAAATAAGAGATTCACTTCGACATTCCAACCACCTGAAGAAGGCCAGAGTGTATAACGGCTGAAATATTGTAATAAATATGGTGACAAAGATAAGGACAATAGTCTAAATAATACCTCATCTCAGAAATATAGACAGCTTTAACAGTCTTAATAAAATGATGCTGTGTTGTTGATATTGAAAAACAAATATTTAATCTACTTTTATAGAGAGAGTAAAAAAAAAGGGTGATTGGAAGTTCAATCCCTCATCAGTTCTCTTATTAAACAATCATTGGGAAGAGAGAAAACTGATTATTATAAACTATGATGCTTTAAAACTCAGAATCTCACTCAATATTTTGTTACTTGACTCTCCATACAACAAAAAAATGTGAGTGTCTGGAATTTTCTATTTTGCAGTGACATTTTTTCTTTTTCATTATTTTTAAAAAGCACAAAATCTACAAACTCATATCTTCATCTTTTCCCATTTTACATTTGTTTTCAGGCCAATGAGATGATCCATAATATTAGAAATGCTTTTAATGAATTGCTCAGAGAAGTGGAATGGATGGATCAAAAGACATTGATTGTTGCTGAAGAAAAGGTATCTTATTTATAATGTGATAAAATGAAAGAAAAACTATGGCTGAACAATTCACTTTATACTGTGTCAGACTTTATTATGCACCTAAAAAAAATATATTGCACTTACATATGTTATCCATATTTTTTAATAGGGATAGATATTACAGTCTTAAGCTCAAAAGTATATACTGAAAATTCTACCAAAGTTCATATTAATTTTATTGTGAAAGACAATGATTTTCATAATAACATGTAACAATTCATAAGATGAATTTCAATAGTCTTATGAACAGAAACACTTGACTGCTATTTAAGAAGAATATGACTATGAGGGTAGGCTGAAAAGTACATAGGGAGATATTGTATATGCATTAATTTAATCTATTCTTAACTGTTTTGTTTCATTCCAGGTAAACTGACAATTGACTGTTCAAAGAAAACTTTAAAAGTTACTTTTAGTGACTTCTCTTGAAAATGGAGAAAATTTGGTATCATAGTGTTATCAAGTGCCTGCAGAAAAAGGGTTTAGTCCCTAAGGAAATTCATGTGGACATGGTTGCTACATTATAGGATGATGCTCCAGTTTTATCAACAGGGCAAAAGTGGGTATCTCTATTTAAGAGAGGAAGGGATAGTCTTGAAGATAACCCAAGGTCTGGAAATCCTGCAACTGCCACCACATGGTGATGGATGTTAGATGATTGACTAATAAATCAAGTAGCCAATGCTATTAGGATATCCAGTGAGAGAGATGAGAATATTCTGCACAATGACCTTGGCATGATGAAGGTTTCTGCCACTTGATCAAAAGTGCAACAGGATGATCACAACATGGAAATATCATTTGTTCCCCAACATGATAAAACACTTGGCTGGTAACCAATATCACAGTGATGATGATGATTTTTTTTTTTTGACCAGCAGGATGAGTACTTCACTAATAGGATCCAAGCACTGCTACATTCATGGTAGAAGTGTGTTAACCGCATGAGTATATCTTGCTCAACTTATGAACTTTTCAGCTGACACTTGCATATATTGTTCTTTTTTAAGATACTTGATACATTTACTGAGGCAAACCGACAGTAGAATCTCAAACACTGAGTATAGAATTCACTTCATTATATGAGTTTTCTTGCCAGTGCAATAAAGTAAGCTCCTGAAAATGTCCTATAAATATGAATAAATTTCATTTTTAAAGTCTTAAAATATTGTTTAGATATTGATATTTTGAACAATTAATGTTATCTTTTTATTTTCTCAATGCTTCAGGAAGTCAATTTTCATCAAATGAAGGTTACATATTATTTGTGACTATTCACCAGGTATTACACATATGTGAAAAGTGCTGGGTAAATGACCAGTTGCAAACTCTAAAAAAAAAAAAAAAAAAAAAAAATGATTGAACAGTCAAAACATTATCTGCTTATTAAGGTTAAGCAAATCAGATCACAAAATATTTAGATTCTTTAGAAAAGAATGAAAAAAATAGTTAAATCACAAAGCCTTAAAAGTTATAGGAAAAATATTAGAATTGTTCCTATATAAAAAAAGCAGAGTATAATGCTTGAAATAATTCATTTGAGTTTTGTTTATTGTAAGTTTATGGCTTAATCTTATTATTTGTCTTAATTATTTGTGTAATACATACACAAGAAAATATATGGCAACATATACACATATTTGAAAACTTTTCAATGCTGAGATCATTTGTTGTATTAGCACTTTTACCCATAGTTTTACCTTTATGTTGAATCCCAGCAGCAAAAGATTTAGTTAAAAAATAGTTTACATTAATTTGTAAAATATTTGTAGATTATTTATCCATGTTAGAATCAACTACACCCAAACTGAAGAATTTATATTAAACATTCCCCTCACCTGCTAATTTCACAAATACATTTGTATAAATTTTATCAAGATGTAAAATGATAATTAAATACTCATAGAAAATAATTTACTTTAATAAAAAAAATTTAACAACTTTTAAACTAAATGATACTAAATTAAAAAAATGTATAAATTATCCAAATGTTTAAGAAAATTTACAATTTTCATTTGAATGGCTGTGGACGTTTAATTTAAAAAAATGTGATTTTCTCATTCTCAGAAAAATACAAAATCTAAAAAAAAAATTACATTTGTTTATACTGAATTTATAAATTTTACTTATATGTTTGGTTAAAAAAATGTTTTAACATCATTTGTAATGATAAAAATTTGTCTTAATATTTTGAAAGTCAGTGAAATTTACTTGTACTAGAAATTAAAAAGGATATACCATTTCAATACTAAGAATAAATAATTTAAGAAATCCAAACTTTCTTCTGTTTTCTTTGCTTATATCTTATTGGCATTTTCTATTAAGGAAAATGTCCAAGTTCAAAACTTCTGCTGTTTTCCATTGCAGTAATAAAAACATATTGCCAAATATAATTCATACTTTAAAACTATCCTATTAGACTTTTATTTTAATTTATTCTACAGTTCATCAGTAGTTTCTTTCATAATAAAATGTCGTTAATAACATCTGAATTTTATGTTTTTTAATCACAGCAGTAAAATGTAAATAAAATAATATTTGCTTTCTTTTAATAGCCAACTTCAAACACCTGTGAGTTTATCAAAACAATTAGATTTTAAAAAATTAACAATGTAAAAATTCAGTGTTAAACCAGTTCTAAATTTTAGTTCAATTGCAAAGGAATATATGACACCCCCATCATTTGAACTGCTCTCAGTTTCTTGACAGACAAATCCCATTTATCTGCATCAACTGTTTTCTTGTTCCTCTGGAGGAAGATGCCACATTATATACTCAATCATTGTGACTGCTTTTGTCATTGGCATCACATTAAAACAGATTTGTAATCCTACAAGGAGTGAGCTGAGTTGGATTTGGGGTTTCAATAAAATTTATTTTACTACTATTTTTTTCCCCAATGATTAAAACTCAAATAAGGAATGAAAGATATATTTCAGGAAAGTTATTCTCTTTTTCAACATTCCACCTGAAATGGAGACAGTGTCTGTTACCCTCTCCCCCTTTAACACTGGCATGTATTATTATTTCATTTCTCTACATGGGCAATACTATTGCCTTAATCAAAGAATTGTTGATTTTGACTCAAAACAGTGTGACTGCTTCCATTAGCTTAGCAGAGCACTAATTGACATTGAAGTATGAACCTGCTTATATTGTAATTTTAAACAGAGAGCCATACATCTTTCCAATTTCCTTCTTCTAGTACATATTCTCCAAACAGTTTCAGAAAAAAATAATGCTTTCATATTAATTTCCTTATATGGACAGAAATTATTCTTCTAAATCAGAAATTAATCTCATGTAACATTCCTTCATGTTTACTATTTTTTTTTACTTTCCAATTTCATCAAAACTAATTCTTGATATTGATCAAACTTTCTTAACTGGACATCTACATATTTTTATTATTCTTTTTATTTTTAGGAAAAATATAGTTTCTCACATAAAATAACTTGCTTTATACAAAATTTCATAGTAGCCAATCTGTCAAATTTGTATTAAATGTCTCTTCATTAACTTTTCAGTGTCTCTATAAATTATAGTAATAAATGTTTGTTTGAATAATAGAATTCAAATTCCTGTTGCTAAATTATTATTGAAAAAAACAACAACTTGTAATAAAAACTAAAGTAAAATTCAAGAATAACAATTGACTTTTCATCTTGTTTTCAGGCTAATGCTATCGTCGAAAGGATTGGTTACCCAGCATATATACTTAATGAAACAATTTTAGCAAACATGTATGATCATGTACGTAAAGTATTCAGTTTTTAACATTTTATATATTTTTTATGAAAAAAGATCAATTTCTATGTATAGATTTTGTACAGAAAAGAAAATTAACACCAATAACATTATAATATACTAGTGACTTAAAGTAAAACAATATTTAAACTTTGTCATTTATAATTTCGATTTGCTATGGTCTTTGAAGTGGCATTTTAGAACAGTTCCTCATTTTTTTAATAAAGTGAAAAATTTCTCAAAACTCTGGCACACACAGAATTCAATAGTGCTGTGGTCTGAAAGATCTCAATTCTTTCTTGGAATTTAAATCTTTTTTATCTCTTTGCACAAGTCATTGGGATTTTTCTTAATTCTCAAATGCATAATTATTACTTATAATTCAATTATTAGGTCTATCATGAACAAAGTGATTTTTTTGACACATCTCAAAGTAATTTCATAAATAGTTTCTGATTTTGTCTTATACCATTGAACTGAAGTTGTTTACACAATTCACAGCAAATCACTTCTCCACCCACTGGTGTATCTATTTTTGTAATATTTTTATAACTCTTTGCTGTAATTACTAATGATTTCTATCACTTTCTCTTCTCTCTTTCCACAAAATATTTATTATTTTGTGAGGATTTTCAGTTCCATCTGTGTTATCTACAAAATCCATAATTTTTCTAATGTCAAAACAGTTAAGAGTACAACTATCATTATTTCTGTAATATATGTACTTGCTTTTTTAATAGAAAAAATTCAAATAACTAGAAAATTCTTAAAACTGAAGTATTTTTTTGTGGTGCATTGTCTTAACAATCCAGTAGTTTATATTGACTATATTTTTATGAATATCTATTGTATTTTCAAAATGAAAAATTGCTAATCTTATGTTTTATACTTCAGGGGATTCTTGAGCAAAGTCTTGATACTTTTCATTTTTTTATCTTTTCTTTCAAGTACTCTTTATATTCTACAGGGAAAGTGATAAATGTAATTTGGCATATCTTCTTTCCTTACACTAGAGTAGTCTGCTTTTCATATTTTCAAAAATATCTTTGCTCTTATCTTATTTTTTGCACTGTGAAAAATCATTTGATTAATCAATACTCAGTATATTTCTATACCAACTTGTAATCTTTATTCATCACATGTTCACATTAACATTATGTGTGACATGTTTTCAAAAGTGCTCAATGCACTCTTAAGGAATCTTTGTAATGCAGTTCTCTAAGTCTATGGAAATATTTTGATTTGACCTAATCCATTTTCTGAACATTTCTTTAAGCACCTGATGTGATGTCAATTTTCTTGTAATCTGATATCAGTTAATACTTTAATTTTAAAGTTTTATTGCTCATAAAATAAAATTTTTCATTTTCTTGTTAGATTTGCATTCAGTTAAGTGATTGATACATTTCTTATAATAACTGTCTGACAAAAGAAAACAAAGTCATCTGAAAATTTTTTATTACACATATTTATGGTATAGGTTAGTATGGTATTCAGTATTTGTTTAATTAAAATTGAATAATTCTCACTTTTATATGTTCAAATCTGTGATCTTCTGATCTTGTATTATTTTCAGTACATATTTTTATGTTTCTTCTTCAAAAAGTTTGGAGCATTAAAGTTATTTTAATAATAATTATACATTCAAATATTATTGTTACCATGAAAATAACAATTATTAGATATTGATATTATTACTTGACATTTGCACTTATTGTTCTTCTGCTTGTGACAGGTAGAATATTACCCAGACACATATTTCACTAATGTCATCACAGCCATTAAGTGGAGTGGCATGATGAACCTAAAACAATTAAGGCAACCTGTGGACAGTGAAGAGTGAGTGAGTTTCCTTCTCATGTTTGCCTAAAGTTGTTAATTTATTCATTAAGTGAAATCCTTACAAAAAGTTTATTTTTTAATGATTTCATTCTTTAACTTTAAAGTTCTCACTTTTCAGAAACAATTCTATGATGATCATCAAGTGAATCTCTAAAATGTTTGTCCACATTATTTTCTTTATACTTTTGTCATACCAAGGATTATATGGAAACATTATAAAATTAAATCTTATCCTACTTGTTGATTAAATATTTATGGTCTTCAAATATTTTTCAAGTCAAAATACATGTACAAAATGACATCACTATGTTTTGTCCTTGCAAATGATGTATTCATATTGTGAGAAAAAAGAAGAGTTTTTTTTTTATTTACTTAAGTAGAAGGTGATGTTACATTATTTTTCAAATAATTTAAAGATAAGCAATTGTTTATCTTTGTATCATAAAGATGAAAGTTGTATACTGTTTTACATGCAACTCTGACATGAAATTAAGACAAGTATAAAATTTTAAAAGTAAAACTAGAAGTTATTTTGTAAATTTATTGTTTAAAATAGAATAACTCATTAGTAAGATGTTTTATAATAGTAATTTCATATTTTCAGGTGGTTGACTCCTCCAGTAATTGTGAATGCATTTTATAGCACTCCCAAGAATCAAATTTGTAAGTAACTTATCTTAAGATTTTTTTTATTAATTATACCAAACTGTTTCTCTTTGTTTGGTAAAAACAAGGGATTTTATTCACAGCCATGTGTGTGTTTTTATCTATATGATAAAGAGAAAATATACACAATTTTCAATTTGTTTGTAATGTATATTTTTGCTAATCAAAACAAGCATGATAATTATCAGATTATTTGAATGTATTCCAATAATCAATCCAATATCATACTTATACAGTCACTTCTGTATGTTTATATTTCTAAATTGTAATAACTGTTATTTCTTTATTTGATTTGTTCCTTACCTCTCTCTGTTACCAGCAAGTTGATGGGCATTCACTTTGTGACTTTCTTCAAGATACCTCATGAACTGATATTTTAACCTTCATATTAAGAATAATCTACAGGGACAACTATTTCCAACTATATCACCATGACAGTTCCTATCACAACAGATGTCTATCCATGGTTGCCCATAATAAATGTAAATGTGTCCTTTATGATCTAAGTCTCTGTTTGTTGAGAGATTGAGTCTCACAACTTTGGCTCTGTAATAGTGTATTAAATAAGAGTAAGTTTTCTATCCCTCCTCTATTCAATCAATTTGAGGTGTTAACATGTTCTTCTGATAATGCTGAATGTTTTGCCCAGAAATTCTGGTCTTGACTCATCTAGAGTATCCTTGTCTAACTTCTTACTTAGAACTGAATCTCTGTTAAATGATTTGCATATAACACTTTCTATGGTTTCTGCTATCAACTATAATCTGGTTACCCACAAAGGTATTCCTGTAATAGACATTAAGAAATGTGCTCCCAAACTGACTCCTGTTCTCTCTAAACTGTATAATAAATGCCTTTCTGCTTCTTGGAAATCCTCCTCTGTTGTTCCAGTCTTTATGCAATCAAGTGAACTGGCCAACCTTTCCAACTATAAACCTATAACCTCTTTTTGGCAAACTACTCAAGGCCCTAATCAATGATGAATTACTTAAGCATCTCACATCACAGAGCATTCTTTCAGACAAACAACATGGGCTTTCATTTCTCTAGGTCACCTGCTGATGTATTAACAATTATTGCTGAAAGTCTATCAAGCTTTAGATAAGAATGGTGAAGCTCAGACTGTTGCTTTGGACATCTCGAAAGTGATAGCTTTGGGATGATAGTCTTCTTCACAAGTTGAAAAATCATGGTGTCTCTGGCCAAATTTTTTAACTGATTCTGTCTTCCTTATCAAATCATGAAATGAGAGTTGCTTGAATGGCCACTTCTCTAGATCCTTCTGTATTGATGCAGGTGTCCATTTAGGCTTACTTTAGTTTTAATTTTCATTAAATGACCTTCCTGATCACATCAGCTCTGAACTTGGTATCTATGCTGATGATCCAACTATTTACTCCTGTCTTGACACTAAGTTTAATCAATTTGATATGGTCAAATTGGTGGCTGATGTGACAAATGACTTACAGTCTTGTTAACTGGGGCAAATAATGGCTTGTAAAATTTTAAGACCTCTAAAACATAACTGCTCTCTATTAATCATGTTTTGCATTTGAAAAACTCATACCATATTCACTTTCTTAAAATATAGTAGTTGTCACAAACATTGTAATAAATAAAATTTTTAATTAAGACATGATTAAATTATTTAAACTGATTTTTGTAATTTCAGTTTTTCCAGCGGGAATTCTCCAACCCCCATTTTACAGTAAGGGTTATCCAAAGTAAGTGTTGTTTTTTTCATATTATCTGTGATACACTGTGAGGCATTTAGTAGAAGGTCATACAAAGTTAAGCATTTGTGAGAACTGTATTGAATCAAAATTGTATCTCTAATATGAAATTTAGTATATCACTTGTGAGCATGTTAATCTTTTGCTATTTAGTATATTTCTAAACAACAATAGCAAAAGATCTTATATAGCGGTACCTTTACAAATGTGGAAAGAGGAAGATAGTGAAAAATGTTTTTTTTATGCTTTTTAACTAATAATAAATTATAAATTCTAGTATTAAGAAGTACTACAAATAAACTGAAATTAAATTTGAAATAGTTTAAAAAATATTTCCAAGTCACAGTAAAATAACGCAGCAATTATATAACTTTTTAGAAAGAAAGGCAGATAAGTTCTTAATCCTACTAAAAATATTTTCTTATAAAATGTTTGACTTGAGAACTTATATTGTTAATATTTATATGAAAATTAATGTGACACAAAAAGACTACAAAAATTATGCAATATGCTGTACAAGGAAATGTTGAAAATCTCTCAGCCTGACCAAGAAATAATTCCAAAACAAATTCTGATATTTGATCACTGACTGTGATCTTTTCAGCACTCCTCCTCTCATACAGTCTATTAACAGTTATTTGAAAATGTTCATTTCTTTTTAAATAATCTATTTATCAGCAAACCTAATGTGTAATTGCTGTGACAATAACCTACTAATGTTGAAGATTTTCAAGTTGAACATATATTATCTAATCAAACGTATTGTGGCTAAAAGTGAAGTGAGCTTAAAATTTATTTTCATTTTAGATTAATATAAGACATTCAAATTTAATTTCAGTTGGTCATCAGTCTGCTATATTTCTAAAATTGATCTAAATGAAAATTTTGACTATAATATTGTAATTTATAGTATTATTCTAATTTTCTTGTATTGATATCTGATTAGTCAGTTTAGGATAAATCATTGTTAAATTTATGCTCCTTTCTTTTATTCTACAATAAAATAGAAGCAATCACATCTTGCTTCCCAAAAATTAAATACAATATCAGTTATCATCTTCTGTCTTCTTGAATCCTGCTCTTTTATTACATTACCCTCTCTGCATAATGTTTTTCTCTCAGACTTTCACTTTCTGATATTAACCCATTGCATCTTATTGGCCTTATCACTTTTGAGTGAAATGTTTAAAACAAAACTCTAGAGTAAGAGAAATTTTATGACATCTTTTACATTAGCTTAACACAACATAATAATATAAGGACATGATGGATCATGAAAACATTGAGCATTTCTATTCAGTTTTGTAGGGATTCTTTCTGAAAATGGAAAAAAAAAAACCTAAGAGGCTGAATTGGATTGCTAATGTCACTTTGATATTTATTTACTATGGAAGGTACCAAAAGCATTACCTCAAGCAAAAGTCGTTCTCTTTTGTCATTTATATAGTTTATCTTTTAGTTTTAAAATAGAAAAATACAGTTGAATTCTGCTAATAAGATAATTCAATACTTAAAAACTTCTAAAGTGTGTGTGTATATATATATATATATATATATATATATATATATATATATATATATATATATATATATATATATATAATAATAATGCCAGTGTATTATTTATCTTGGAAATGTGCAAAAATTTCCACAAATTATACTGAACAGTATTAATATCTTCATGTTAAAATCAGTACTCTTACTTTGCATTATAGCTTTTTTTTTTATTTTTCTAGATTCAAAATATTATTTAGGCCTTTGCAAGAATGCAATTTTTATGTACAAAGCTAACTTTTTTTATAATACTTGGGTGAATTCTTACTTTGTTGATTAAATTTTTATTAGTGTCAAGCTTTTTATCTCCCTACAAAATCTTGTAGAATATTTTATTGATCATTGTAACTATATGATAACAAAAGAGTACACAAGTGTGGAAAATGAATTGTTATAAACCTGCTGCAAATTATAGTTATACTTTTTCGTGTAAGCTTGAACAGTTTTGACATCTAAAGACCAACTTCAGCTACATGAAAAATAATAATCTACATTGTAGAATTACGCTTATTTAGAAAAAAATAAATGTAAAGAATATCTTTAGTAAAATTTTCAGAAAAGTGTCTAGCTGAACACAGAATGAAGTGTATAAAAATATTATATACAAGATAGAACTATTTTTATTTAAAGTTGTGAAACACTTGAAGAAAATGAGTGTGGAAAAGTTAATAAACTTAATCTTTGCATTATATATGAAAATTAGTGATGTGCAGATACCATGATGGTTATTAGTGTGGAAAATGGCATTGGTGATGTTTCTTTCTAGTCTGTTTCATTCACTTTCTATTAATATCCTTAGAAAAGGAATGAATCAATTTCTTCACCCTCCAGCTATGAATTAAATAGCAGCATAGACTAGCCCTTTAGCCAGTTTAGGAAAGAACATCTTTGTGTTCAGACCCATGAAGAAAGCAACTATCATCTAAAAAAAGCATGGAATTAAAAAATACATGAAGATTATTTGATATACATAAATGCTCTGTAGTAGTGATATAAACTTATAAATGTATGTAGGTCTGAATTGGTATACAAAAACAACTGACTTACAAAATTGCAAATAAAAAAATTAAATATATTTCTATATTTATGCAGAAATATATTATATGCATAACACACTAGTTTATATCAACTGAAGTGTCAAAATATTAGAGACAAGTATCAAATAAAGTTCAGTTCCTTCCTTCATCTGAATAACTTTATGGATTCATTACATAGTTATATCTATCATACACACCCCAGGTTTGAAAGTGGCTTCAGGGAATTTAATGAGGATTGTAACACATTTTCCATGGTGTTTCAGTGGATTACATACAAGTTAGTTGAAACCATTTTGGGTCAGTTGCACATGATAGGAAGTTATCTTGTTGGCAAGCATAAAAGGGTGCAAATTGTCTTCAAGATCTTTGTATTGTACACCTGTTAATACTGATTCCAGTTTCATTTACTTGTGGGCTTTGGGAACACACTCAACATCATTAAAGAGTTTTCAACAGTTTGCACAATAACTTGAAACATGACATCAATCTTCCACTATCCAATGTTCCCTGGCCCAAGTTAGGTTAGTTGGTACCAAGATTTCAGTTATGGTTCTCTTGTTAGTCACCAGTCATCCTGATTCTTGCATAACCTCTGGACACTTCCGTAATTCACACCTTGATATACACATGTTACTGTTGCCTGGAAAACATGTAGAGCAATTCAGAGGTAGAGTGCTCCATCTTTCTGACTTAAACACTCATTCAGTGATCAAATGGTGTTATGTTTATAACTACTGTTTGCCACACTACCTTTTTACTTGTTATGTCAAATATATTATCCAACTTACTACAAATGGAATAAGTCATATCTATCTAGTGTACTGTTGTCAATATTTGCTTTTAATATTTCAGTTTATATTGAAATTTAAGTAAAAAAAAAAAATTAAAAGATTTAAATTTTTACTTTATTAATCTAGGAGACCACTTGAAAATTAAAATAATAATTATGCAAATTCTATTCACAATGCATCCATTTTTAAATTTATACTTACATATTAAATGAAAGAAGAAACTGCCATGAATTTTAGAATTAGTTGCAAAAGTTAAAATGTAGCTTCAAGGCTATTCTTGCTGAACATTTAGTATTCGGCTACCTTTACTTATTTTTAAAAATTTCAAAATCCTTAAGGCATATTTACCAAAAGATTTATCTCTTTCATCAATTCACTTTTTCTCTAGGCTTTTAGAACAGCCAAGTGCATTGATAATAGAAGTATGTAGGATGTTGGTGCTTAATTCTGTTTTCTTATTACTTTAGCCTCTCATTCAACTTGGAAGGGCAATATGGTGCTTGCTATCAATCTTGAAATTTTGCTTTTATAGAAAGACAATCATAAGAGACAAATCAGATTTTATTCATTTCAGGGAGGCACTACCTTCTACATTAAATGACATCATTTTTTTTTTTACAGCAAGGTACACTCTTTTCAAGGCCTGGGGACCACTTGTGTGTATAGGAGTGGAGGATAATGGTTAACCCTGGCCTTGAACTGGTTAAGATTGTAGTGATCTGGGAAATATCCTATTGTGAGTCAGTTCCACAGGGCAGTGTTTTGTGGGAAGAAGCTGCTTGAGTGGAAATTACTTCTCACCAATGGAATACAGAGGGAATGTGGGTGAATTGCCACTCTGTAAGTGGTATGGCATGTTCTTGCTGTGAACATTTACCTTCAGTGGGACCAGGGAATACAATTCGTCCAAGCACCTTCTGTGGAATCAGCAGTAGAGCAGTGAGAGACTTGTCACATCCTGCCTGTGAGAGAGAGAGAGAGAGAGGTTGAAGAGTGGAGAATAATTAATCTCCCACAAGGGTTCAAAGACACCTTTGAACTCTATCAAGGCTGGAGAGTGAGGTCTAAGCAACACCCACCCAAATTTATACAGTACTTCACTTTTGGCCTGATCTGACTCTTGTAAAAGTAGAGGATAGCAGGAGAAGTCAGGTACTTATTAGAGTGGTACAGAGAGCCAACCATTTTACATGTATCCTTAGCATTGGATTGTATGTATTAGTTCCACTTCATGTCGGTTGTGAGTTTAAGACCTGACAGTCTTTCAAGGCATGGTGCTTCCCCAACATGACCTCTGTTCAAACTGATTGGTGGTAATTCAAGGTCAGATCAGCAATGATGGAATGTAACTAGTTTGGTCTTTGAGGCATTGGATGTAACTAGTCTGTTTTTACCCTATTGCATAGTTTGTGAAAGATTGGAAGAGATATCAGTCGTCAGTCTCAGACCATCTGAGATGCATCTGTATATAGTCATATCATCGGCATAGATGTTTACAAATGATCGAAGTATATTCTTAGGCAGATCATTTATGAAAATCAAAAAGAGTGTTGGTCCAAGACGTGTCCCCCAGGGGCCTGCATTGATCTCTAGGGCTCCAGAGGTCTGG